CCGTAGAATAACCATACAAACCCTAGTAGAGGGCGTCGGTCTTAAACAACTACGCGGTCCCCCCGGGGTGGTAAGGGGGGACTTTAGAGACGTTAAATATCCACCCCAACCCCTTAGAAAGTCCGGCCCTGTTGCTGCGTGAGCAGCAATCCGGCTGGCCAGGTGTTTCTTCTCTGGGGCTGCCACACTCAGCGGCCAATCGAGTGGAGGTCGAGTGTGGCGGTCTTAGGGGCGGAGCGTCCCTGGCGTGCCGCTTCGCGGCCCGATCGGAATAAAGACCACTGGGGGAGTGGTTGACGGCCGGTTTGGTTGGCGGGGTGGTGCGTTGGGGAGGACCATATGAGCCTCAAGGCTCGGTGTTCGCTGATTTTCTTAAGTTAGATAGATAGAGTTTGTGACGACCGGGGGTGGTCCTGGGTTTTTACCGCTCCTCGCTCGGGATAATCACAAAACCTACAGCTTTAAAATCAAACTAAAGAAGGTACATGCAGTGGTGAGTGGCCCAAAAATACCGCCCCTTAAATTGTGCCGCACGTGGCGGACCACCCCCCTCCCCTCATCCTACGCCCTAGATCTTGTTTTAATGCCTAGATCTGTAGGCTTATGCGGGCTCTCATCAACAGCCCACTCTCTCAGTTCTCAGCCCACTCTCTCGGTTCTCACCAACAGGCCACTCTCTCAGTTCTCACCAACTGGCCACTCTCTTAGTTCTCACCAACAGGCCACTCTCTCAGTTCTCACCAACAGCCCCCTCTCTCAGTTCTCAATGTGACGATGGTGTAGATTTTGCAAGACGATATCCAAAAGGTCTAGGATTATTCTTATGGATTACAAGCTGGTTACCAACAGCTAATCGCCACGCTCCACGCCGCTGGATAACCCAAGGGAACATCATTTGGATGACACAGCTTGGCACCAGTGGCGTCGCAGGAGTTGCCGGAATGTTTCATTGTACCAATGTTATCTGCCTTTCGGGACTCCATCTCCGGGTTTAATGTCAGAGTTTCCTTCTCTTAGATGAGTTACCGTCCAAGGTTAACGAGTCCCATCCACCCGGTGTGCTGGTGATGTTTGTGCTTGAATGGGCTTTGGTGGGGAAAGAAGAACTAAAATAACTTGAAGTGGACGTCTTTATCCCGCGTAAACTTCGCTTTCATTGTAAATGAGACTATGAACAGCGTTAAGCTTTATGAAACTCAAATGTGACTTGGGACTTACTAATTTTAAAAATCATAATTTTTATATATGTTATTCACACTAACGATTGTCTTTTGTTGCCGTTTTGAAATTTAAATATTC